CAAGACCAAACTTCTGCTTCCGTTGGAGGATCGCATGACACTGCCCACAGTCCTCCAGTCGGAGATAAAGAAGCCTGGTTAGCACTGGGCCAGCTGAACTGTTCGTTGAAGTATTCTGCCCAGCGATCCAGTCGTTGATCCCTATTGCGAATAGTCTGTCCCCTCTTATCGCAGACTGTTTCACTAACTGGAGTTCGACGACCTAACGTATTGCGCATCAGTCGGAAGTCTTTGACTATTCCCTGATGCAGCCGCTACTTCCATTTCACTAGCTATTGTTGCCCACCCGTTCTCACGGTCGTTCTTGAGGCTCTTTGTGAAGTGGCGTTGTAGATACCACCTAACGTTTTTTGATCCATCGGTGCTACAGATTCATCAGATATCCAATGCTGTCGTTTGGCTTGCGGCTCAGATTCACAAGCAGTATTAGCAGTGAAATGCATTGCTCGCCTAATATGATCCCACTGCTCATTTAAATCATCACGTTGAGGCGCGCTGGGCTCACACACTAGTTCTGACTCAGAGCGTGCACGATCGGCTGGAACAGAAAGTCGATGGTGAGCTATCCGAGTTTGNCCAGTCTACCGAAGAGTCAACTGCATCAAAACTAATGCATGATCAGACTCAACGAAGGTGGTCCAATAGGATCTGCAATTTTGCACTGAGCCACGCAAACGGTAACTTACTGCTATGTGGTCGATTTGAGGTAACGTACCAGTTGACCTGGAGCGCTACGTTGCCGTCCGTCGAGAGCTTTATCGGAAGTTGGTGCGTGATAGGAACAGATGATGATCTGCGCAGAACTGAAGAAGTCTATCGCCGTTATCTGGGCGGAGCACAACTACCGCCTAGGCAAGCTTCTGATGCGCTCATTTTTCCAACCTGCGCGTTGAAGTCACCTGCAAGTACAACTATGTCGGAGCTTCGACTCATCGGAATGAGATCGGTCAGGTCATCGTAGAACGCGTCCTTTTGGGTATTAGAACTGCAATTGGTTGGTCCATGTGCTGATACGATGAACAAACACATTTTGGTGTTGCTTCCCTTCCGGACGCTGATTGAACCCTGGAGACGCACTGCACATAAACGACTGTTGACGGGGATCCAATCGATAAGAGAGGACTCCGCCCTGTTGCTGAGTAGAAAACCTACCACACGCTGACCCACTGAGCGGGCTTCGTCGTCGCCTGATGTGCGAAGAACATCTCCAAGACAAATCTGGCGCGCTAAGTTTCCGAGTTTTCTGAGTTTCCGACACACATCAAATGTCTATCCCTAAAGATTCCATTGTGCGCGCCAGACAAGCTTGTTGACCTAGCTGCATTATGGTCCTCGCCTTGAAGGCCCCCAGATTCAGTGGTTGACGAGGCTTTAGAATCTGCAATTCGTTTCGAGATACACTACTTACAGTGCTATTTGACAATGAACTTTGGCGAGCGACATCCAAGTTGCTTGGGGAACTATTACAAGTCGGAAGAAAAGGAAAATGGAGAGGGCTGGGTGCTGAAAGCAAAGAATCAAACAAAGGTTGGGATATCTGAGCAGTAGCCCACTTACCACTACCCACCCTGCTCGATGCAATGGGCAGCGCGGTCCTGATTATCCTGCGCGACGACCGATGAAATATGAAATTTTATTTTGTGTATGAATTAGGATTTGGTGGACAGGTACTGCTAGGGTGTCCAGCCACCAAGAAGAACAATTAGGGTTCTCGTCCAAAGCGTTTAGTTCTGACAAGAACTTAACCGCAAGGCAGTAGGTAAAACGAAGTGGGGGCCCATTTACTTGGATCGTTTATTCCTTGATCATTTTTTACCGAGTGAAACGCAAATCCCATTCGAACACCAACCTCGAGGACCAGGAGACTGAACTCCACCCATTGACCTTCCAGGCGTGATAAAATCCCCTGGTTTTATAAAGCCATCCTGTGTAGCTCGTTGGGTCATAAAGATGCACAAGCCATTACACCACGTCAAGGCGCATTCTCGTCGTGATGGAAGAAGTCTTCGCACTTCATTGGGCAGCTACCACCCGCCCGAGCTGGGCAGTCCTCAGCCAAGAAGAAGTTGTCCCGTTCACGTTCCGCTTATCTCATTGAGGGGATGAAACTAAGGGCCAATCCCGAACAGGCTACCATGATGTATGTCTTGCGCACCCATTTGGAGAAACCTATTTCTCATCTGTCTAGTTCTTCTTCTCAATCCCCAATAACCTCAGACGCCTCCTGTTTACGCCACCTATCGGATTTCACCCAGCATTTTATCAGTAAGTCCAAACAATCAGAGGTTATGGGACTTTTGAGGCTAAACTTCATTTGTCACTGAGACGAGTTCAACGTCCGCACACCCTATCAGATTGGTCGATGAGCTACCCTAGCTAGAACCCTTGACACATTGAAGTTGTCTCCGAAACACGCATACAAGACCCTACTTCAATCATCTCCCTGCGTTCTCCTGATTCAACCTCATCCTCACGTTTCGCCCTTCGTCTCTCAGGCGATTCGGCACCCGACGCTCGCGGTATTTCTGGTTTTGGGGTTATGCCAAGTGCCAAGGCTGAGCACTCGCTTCCTAACTGGTTTCAGGTCAGTAGCCTGCTTAGCGCTGTACGTGTCAGCGATGGTTGAACTGAGGGACCATGAGAGAGCTCCGCTTCGAAGGCCGATTTGTAAATATTGTTTACACTGCACTACCTGAGAGCACGCAAACGCTTCAAAGAACACATACAATTGTCGGTTTTTATACTTCTCTAGACATTAACGGCTGCACATGCTTCAAATAAGAGGTATCGTCATTCATGGAAACTTAGGTTATTTGACCATCTTGGCTCCAAGGCCTGTTGTCTCTCTCAAACGTGCCTTCGATAAGTTTGAGTCAGAGCTTCTTCCACCCTTGTTATCATCGGCCACACACCAAGCACATCACTGAGTCCTCCCGTCCGATAGCAAGTTTTCCGAACACTGACTAAAGTAATCGCATAAAGGACTGCAATTCTACACTTAAAATGAGATAACGCAGTTACTGAGGTTATACTTCATTGTTCATCATTGAATTGGAGGAGTCTTGAGTTGATGTACCCAATTCTGTGGAAACCTTACAATCCATGCGGTCCTGTGCACATTGTGTCGCCCAATTTCCTCCTCAGGTTAAGTTAGTATTCCGAAACTACGTCATTCTCATGCTATAAGAATATGAACCGGCTAGAAATACGTACTATCCAAAGTCGCGTACGCCTTAACAAGTGATTTTTTCAAGATAGAACACCGTACATTTCAACACAGAAAACTACATACCACAGTTCTCAAGCATGTGAATATATTTGGCATTTCTCTTTGACCGACCAACCATATCATCCGTAAAAATACTCTATAAAAAGAGAAGCACACAGTTGTGATCATTTCCACCTATAAAAATTCGAGACAGAAATTTTACCCATAGCTTACACATACTGATCATGGGATTTAGTCTTGATTTGTTCTGCACTGTCTCTACTGGGGTGTGACTTATTCATCTCTCTTGTGTACAAATCCTAAACACGACTGAACTGTCATTAGCATAACCTTTGTATCCTGATTCATTAAGAAGTAGATTTATCGAAAACATCTTTTCTTCTTTAGGTTGTGTTGAAGTTATGTTCGAAAATTATTCTCCCACAGAATTGTTCATCTTCGTTATGCGCGACGATTAGCTGCCTTCCACAGTAGGTTATTTTTCTGAATGCCATCTCATTCACTGATGGATTGCGCTGTCTCCTTCTTGACTTATGCGAATGCCTGTGAGGAGCAGGGGAAAGCTATTTTGTCCTTACGGGAGTCAAACCGCAAACATTCAGTACCTGTGGATTAGCATTGAAATAACTAAAACATTTCATTGTATTCTTCATTATGAAGGTCGCCCACTGATTATAATTCTCTGTTAACTGATAGCATGCTGTTATCGTTGTATTCTTCAATTTGCATAGATTCAAGGCGATGGAGATTTACCGCTGTTCAAAGTGTGCGCCAGATCACAGGAACCGAAGCGATCTGACCGAAAAACCGGCATCAAACTGTCTCATGGCGAGCGGGGCAAAACTTTGAACATGAGCTCACAGATTGATGACCACATGTTAAGTGTTCGAGTAAAGCAGATCGAAGCGCTTTTAGACGCTAATTATGTGATTAATGTGTTTGTCAAACTACGCCGGAACGAACTACCCAAATGCGAATCTGGAGAGGATAAGGAAAAAGGAGAGCTAGCCAAGGTGATCAGTCTATATCAGATTTTGATAAGCAATATTTTCTGTTTACTTTATATGGCATACTTTAAACTTCATCAATGCACACAAAGCCAGTGTTTTTTCCAGGCACTTAAGATAAATCATGTTTTGTCCTTCAAACACGAAACAATCTGTTTTGCTAATCGAGACACTGTATGCTTCCTGGTCCCAATGTGTTCATTTTGCTTCCCCTTCTTCGTTACAGATGATGTACAACATCATAGCTCAGCGATTTGTCACAGCCTTTTCAAAAATCCCGTCCGCTACTGTTCGACTTCTTGAACGTCCCCAAATGACAGAAATAGCAGCTATTATCAAACGAACAGAAAATTCGTGAGAAACAGGAGCTAATTTTTTTCGCGCCCTTAACATTCACATTGCCCACATTGATTGAACAAAGACTTCGAGCATGCCTTTTTGTTTTCTGCTGTCGTGGGTGTATTTTCAACAAATGTCGAGCCGCATTCCGCTATCATGGATCTAACTCTGTCTGGCTACGTCAATAAAATTTGTCACAACAACCGCGAAAATCCATTCAAATCTGTGAACTAACCCGTTCAAAATAGATATATCGTGTGTGAGTGCTTTTAACTAGTAGTGGGATGCAGTAACCAAAGATCAACAATTACACCCACATCTTCACTTGCGCCCCAAAAATTTATTTCGGCATTGAACTATCTAGAAGAATCATCAGAATGTTTCCCTTTCTATTCTTTTTAATTTTACTATTCTATGACGAACAGTTTGGCGAGGTCGAAAACGACGGTGATTGCGTATAGTACATACAGCATGTGCTTATTTGATGAGTGGTATGAAAGGAGAAACCGGTCACGAGAGAATTTAATCCTTCCATTTACATATCATACTGTCTTGATTTGGACTTCAATTATCGCTCGACCTCCGTTGCATTGATCCAAAAGAAAGAAAGGTGTAACCTAACGGTAAAGTTGCTGTTTAGTGCACATAAAATTTCAACGGATGGATTAGGATTTCACGCATTTCTACGTTCAAATTGTGCGCCTTGGAAATCGTGAAGGACGCATTTTGAAATCTAGAATATCACCTCATTAATTGCTCGTGGATGGAATATTGTTTGGGTGCCAACACAGGTGCATTTTTCCCGGTCCGCACAACCTGGCAGTGTTCCACCCAGAAGGAAACCATGGACTGGTTTTCTTGCTATCGTGATTTTTTAAACCGCGTTCTTTCTCACAGTCTAGGCTCGAATAAGTGAAATACTCATCTACTATCTGATTCTTCAACTATTCGAGTTTGACATGCAAGGTAACAGACCACCCTGTGGAAACTGTAACTCGTTGGGGACAGGTGTCCAGTTCATTAGATTATACATGGATATATACGTGCTTGATCCATAATATGACCGAAACCACGATTTTGGGTTTGGGTTCCATACGCCACTTATCAATTTGTTTACAATAACGGCTTTCTACCAGCTACCCATAGGTGAACTGCCGGTTGCTAACCGATTCGAACATTGGTTCTCCATATTTAGCTTCGGTGGAAATCACCATGGCTTGATGACATTAGGCAGGTTTCCCTAAGCAAAGGCTATTTGCTACGCTTGGTCGTATAGGAACACTTCGCGAGATGCACGCTGACCTTGACTGGTCTCAACACAAGGTACACACTCTTTTGACTGTACAGGGGCTGTAGTAAGCACTGCGCCTATTATCGTAACCTACTTGCGTCTCTCTCGAGCCGTTATTTTCAGACGTACATAGGCCTAAAGCGTTTGCAACAGCTTCAATTAGTTTAAGTTTATGTAACCATCGGCATCCGCATTTGCTCGACCATTCTGAGTGCTCCCTTTTGGCACGCGTAGATGATTATCTCGCCGTGGTCCTTATTCAAATCAATCGCGTTAGAAGTTCCGATCTAGGGTCTCGGAATGAGTTTATTCGAGAGATAAAGTAAGCGAATATAGTAAACGATGGCGCATTCATGCATCTACGCATCTTTGCAAATTTTGTGTATCTGAACTCTCCAAAACCTTCGAACCGCCCACGGATGGTGGCATAAGGTGAGAGATGACCGTGGTGTCAACTGGTCTTACGACAATCATCACAGTCGAAAGTTATCGGGTGGATCTAAAGACGCGTTATCCATTTTGAGCCTCATACAAAGTGGGCCGAGTATAGTGTGTGCATTACCTTCGTCGCGTCGAGAATTGTGATTTTTTCATTTCGGACTCGAGCGTTCCAGTAGGTTATTTTTTCAAAGTTGGTAATGATGATGCATGTAGGAGCGAGAATAATGGAAAAATACACTGGTGTTGCATATTATGGTCGCCAAAAAGATATCCCACACACATTCCCTAATAATCTACGGTCGAGAGACTCAACAATGTCAGTTCCGAAAACCCTAATCTAGCCTAACCCAGTTCTAATTCTACGTGATGTGGTATACCGTTCCATGAGCGGAAACCCTGAGATTTCTTATTGAGGTCAAATGAAATTGAACGGAAACGGCAAAATACGGTACCCGTGAAGAAAACCGCTACCGGTTTCGAACGATCTGCTTAGCCCTCCGTAGACGCTTACGCTACCAGAAGCATGCGAGTACAGCGACCTCAGTAAATGTACATACTTCTAAGATACTTCTTTTCGAATAAGTGAACCCACTAAGGCTTCACAGTGAACTAAGTCGAAGGCTCCTTTTAGGCCAAGGAACACTGACCGTTGATAGAAGATGTGTACGGCGAAACTAGATTATTTGACGCAACGTGGAGATTCGTTTGATGACGGCAACTTGACCGAAAAGCTGCCAGCTGTTTAGAGATATTCGTCTCCCTTAGGGGCATCAGACGTCGAATAACGACAGAGGCTAATACTTTGGTGACGACTGGAATCAAACTGATCCCGTGGCGTTTTGTGCAGTCGTTTGTCGAGAATTGGAGCGACCAGCGATTCTTTTTCTAATCCGTGCTATTGAATAATGAGTCATCAAATGCCTAGGGCAAGCTTGAAGCTCTGATTTTAGAGGAACCCTCGCTAGAGAGTGCACTGCTGGCCTAATCTGACCCCCTTGCTCTACATCTACACTACCACGCTGCAGCTTGCTTAACGCATACCCCAGTTCTAAGTCAAAGTTTTATTATGGGCGATTTAACAAAGCTGAAGATTATCACGCCCCTTAGGATTTTTACAGAATCTTTTGAATACCTTCACAAAGAGAAAATAACGATGATAATAATGTGCGTGATTACTGACCGATGTTGAAATTTTAAGTGTTCCAATGCTTTATCAAGTTGCGATTTAAATAGTTCAACTGTAGGAACACACTACATCAGATGGGAGAGAATCCCATACGCCGCACACTCTGACTGAAAACGAGTGATGCTGGCAATCAAGGTGGCTGTTCTGGGTCTTCATCTTTAGTGGATGTCCCCTGAGGTGATCATTATGAGATAAAGTCAGCAAAGAACGGCAAGGGTGGTTGGGTTGATGCAGTATGTGATATGCCAATATTAGGTCCCCTCGAAGTCGGCGGTATTGGGATGAATAGATTCTCAATTTCGTTGCCAGCCTTTGCGGACGCTCTAGAGCCTTCCTGTCGCGGTTTAAACATGGATTCCATACTTGAGCGGCGTACTCCATGTGCGGCCGAACGAACGCTGATAACAAGCGTGGGAACAGTGCTCTTTCGAACTGTCTGAAAACACGTCTGAGTAGTCCAACTTGCTTTAGAGCTACAGATGATGCTCTGGCACACTGTGTGGAACATCCTACTTCCTCCTGTACCATAACTCCCAAAGCCCTTTCATCAGTGACATGCGGCAGTACTTAGTTCCGCATGGAAATAACTCTGCATTTGGAAAAGTTGAACTCTATGTCGTTGGCGATTGACTATCGGTGGGCTGCGCCGATCGTTTGTTGTAGTGCTATATGATACTCAGGGTGTATTATAGTTCTCCAGATCTTAGCGTCGTCCGCAAATAACAGTGTACTTGACCCAAGGACATGTGGCAGGTCATTTATAAGTGCAAGAAAGAGACGAGGCCCCAGTACGGATCCCTGAGGAACCCCCCAGGTAGCGATGATAGGCTCTGATAATGAATCACCAACACGAACTGACATGGTTCTTTGTCGGAGAAACTCCTTGATCCAGTCCAGAACCAAACCTCTTACTCCGTAGTTGTTAAGTTTTCGCAGTAGAATTTGGTGGTTTATTCGATCAAATGCCTTGCAGAAGTCCAAATAAACTATATCCAATGGCTGGCCTGCATCGACAGATTTTGTCCACTCATCCCGTGCAAGGAGTAGGTTTGTGGTGCACGAACGCTTGTACCGAAACCCGTGCTGGGTTGGAGACGAAAGGTCATGCTAACCCAGATATTCCATCAACATATCTGCCACAATAGCCTCCATAACTT